CTTCTGCCACAGCTCGGAAGTTGTTACAGAAAAATGGAGAATGAAGTAAGGGAGAACATTAAAGGGCCTACTTAGAGGTGCACTTCACTTCCGTTTAACATTCTGATCTGTGACCAAAACTCTAAGAATCGTTTAGCCTGTGCACTCACCCTCACTCAAATCACTTGTGAAGTAGGCTCCTTTATGTTCCAATACTTCATGGAATCAAATTATATCACATTAAAATGTTATTAGTTTAAAACACATTACATAAATGTAAGTCTGGGCTGGCACATGAATATTTAAAGCTCACATTACATGGTGAAATAGAAGAAAAAGGGGAGAGGAGAACTAACAGTTCATCGTATGAATACTGATAGAAATAAAACATCCTACGTGTAAACTTTTTTTAGCAAAATATTATTTCATTGCTTACAAATTATGGTATCGTTGAATTTAAAAGGAAATATAGAGAGAAACTGATTTACACTTGTTTTCAATCAGAATGCCAGTAAATCTTTTCAATGCCCCATTTTGGATTCTTTAGGTAGGAGTGGATTGCTAGGTCGTGTTGGCAAATTTTAAATACAACTGACTGCCTGTTTTCCATATTCATATATTGCGAATGTAACTCCAGGAGAGTGAATTTTATCTCAAAATTCTCCAAGAGTTGCCTTCAAATCGCTTCTCTGTGCATATGTACACGGCATACATTTGACGTCTGCCATGTGTACCTTTGCGCAGGAAACCAGTCGTGGAACTGAATTGAATTACTGGATTTGAGTCGAAATGAACCCGTCCAAACGATCCAGGTCTTCGCTCTTTGAGGTTTCTCTCAATAACACTTTTAATTAAATCAAGAAAAGCAGTAAAGTAAAACAATAGCTATAACCCACCAGGTTCCACCGAACACAGACCCATCGTGTATTCCAGCGCAACCCAAGTATTTCCGGGTGGCGAGTCCCTGGCACATGGTGCTCCAGCGAGCCAGCAGCCGGAGCTCGAAGCCCTGTAGGCGCAGAGGACCCCACTGACAGCCGAAATGGGCGTTTTGACCCAAACCAGTCCTCAGCACTTTTCTCCCAGGGTGCCACCTAAAACCCCGCAGTGGCACTGGCCCGCGCTGTGCGCTTTTTTGCGCTCTGCACCCGGGGAGTTGCAGGTGGAAAGGCGCCCCTATCCATCCCGACACCGCTCCTAGGCAAGCCCCAACGTATACCGCAAGGGACCATTTCGCCGGGATTCGGCGTCCACCCTCAATCGTGACCGTCCAGGCCCGGCAAGCGAAGCGGGGCGGAGCTGGACATTAGGGGCGCCGCCTGCGGAAGATGCAGTATCACGTGCGCGCTGCGAGAACCCCGAATCCTGCGAGTCCGGCTCCGGCCACAAGCTCTGGTAGAACTGGGCTCCCAGCTTTAGGGCGGGGCCTCTTCTTGCCTCTAGCCTGGGCGTCGGCTCCCACCCACCCTTAGCGCCAGCTCCCGCGCGGAGCCTCAGGGCCAAAGGCGTCCCCTGCGGCTTCTCCCTGGGTGTGCACACAGGGAGGCCCAGCGGCGGACAGCGATGGCCCAGCCTTTGCAGGATTTCGGGCTGGAGGTCTGGGGACTGGGGGCGCAGGGTCGGAACTGAGCGCCAGTCCCCGCTCCACCAGCCCAGAATCCCCCAGTGTTTCCCGGCCGCGTGGAAGGGCCCGACCTTGGCCCCTCGCCTCCCGACGTCGGGCTCCCCCTCCCTTGACTGCAGCGTCTTAGCTGGAGGGAAGCTCGCAGCGTGCCTAGGCCAACCCCTTCTGCGTCTCTTTTCTTTTCCTTTCTCTGTTCTCGGTTTCTGCTTCCTCCCAAGAAGGAACGCCAGAGCGTGCAGGGGCCTGGAGGAGCCTCCGCTTCAGCCCCTTTCCTGGGCATCCAATCTTTGCCCACAGTCTTGTCTCTCCCACTCCATGTTTCTTTCTTCCTCGCATTGCCTTGCCGATTTAGCCGGCACATCTCTCTGCCTCTAAATTTGCCTCCCCTTTTCTCTCTGATGTAGCATTAAGCAAACCAAGGTGTGTTGAGGTTGGAGAAGTCCGGGCAACGTGGGCAGAAAAATGTCCTATTCTGTCCTCGGAACATTTCCGGTCACTACAGTTTGGTTTCCCCCTGAGGCGGCGCCCGCGCGGGTTCCGCGGTGCAGGCCGCTGCTACAGCGGCGCGGGCTGGCGCTCGCTCGCTCGCTCTCCAGCTGTGTGTGCGTGTGCGGGTGTGGATTTGTGTATCTATGGTAGCAAACCAGGGCGGGCTCTCCAAACCGAAAGCGGAGCGGAGTTGGGTTTCTGGGATTCTAGGGCTGCGGGCAAGGAAGATGAGGGATTTTTCTGCGATCCTGACGCCAATCTGCTCCTGGACTCCACGCGTTCTGGCCCCTTGTCCCGTATCTCTAGGGCCGCAGCATCAATTCCGTGTCCTCCGAAGTGGTTCGTCACCTGCTCCGCGGCGGGGAGCCGCCCGGCGGGCCAACGCTGCGGGAGTCGGAGAAGTCCGAAGCACGCTGGCCAGTCGCAAGGGGAGACCGACTCACAGCGGACAGGATGGGCAAGGGGACGGCGGCTGGCCCTGGGTACCCTGCGAGGGGGCTGTGCGAATTTTGACCCGGGATTGTGACTACCACTGGGCGCCCCCTCGGGAACGCACGTTTGTTTCGCTCTGGTCCGGAGCGTGCGGAGCGCGACGCGGCGGCGCCGGGTCGGGTGTTTTGGAGCACCGCGAACGCACCGTTTGGTGCTTGGCCTAATCCTCTGCCCTTCCTAGGTGCCGCAGGAACCGAGTAGTGGCCGGCGTCCCCTTGCTAATCTCAAAGCCCCACAAAGCCAAAATACACACGCAGAACTCACCAGATCATCCCACAAACACAAAAACTAAAGCCAGACACATGAAAACATAACCCCAAGCCCCCATCCAAACGCAAAGCTCATAAAAACAAAATCCAAACAGAAGAAACAAAACACACACAGACACAAAATTCACCAACGCAACACAAACTCCACTCACTAATGCAAAATCAGAACACATCAAAACACCACGCTGAAGGAAAAGGCTTACCAACGACACACAAAAAGACAACCTATAAAGACAAAATACAAAAACCACACAAAATCAAAACACACAGGACAGAAAACAAAACCCAGCCCAAAGACCAAGACTCACAAAGCAAAACCCGCTAAAATCAATTCCACGGAAAAACAACACGCAAAACACCCGAAACAAAAGACTCTCTCATAGATAATGAAAAGAAAACTCAAGGAAAACAAACCAAACCAAAACAGACCCCCTAAATGGAAAACAACAACAACAACAACAAAAACACAAACATCCCCCGCCCCCAGCCCGGGGTGAAATGTCAATTCCGGGAGGGCTTTTGATCTCCGGGCGCGGACAGGCCGCTCCTCCCAGGCGCTGCCTCTCAGCTCGGGCGAGGCGGGAGGGCGGGAAGCCGGGGCTGGGACCCGCTGCGGAGGGAATGAGTCGAGCGCTCCGAGATGTCCAAAAATCAAGTCGCCGAGTAGGGACCCGGACCCACAGGCTGCAGGGAGGAGGCGGCGCAGGGGGACTGCGCAGACCACTTGGTGGGGGGGCCGCCTGGGAATCCACAGCCACATTTCCGATTGTGGCGAAATCTGCTCAGTGGATATGCGATGTCCGGTTCCCGCCCGGGGCCCCCCTTTCCTCGAGCTCTAGGCTCTTCCCCCTAGGTTTCGGCCCAGCCTCGTGACCACCCCCTCCAAAAAACAAACAGCACTCTCGCTGGGGACGATTCACTCTCTGAAACTGCCATTGTCCGGCGGGCCAAGCAAGAGTCCTCCTGCGGAGCGCTCTCCCGCCCTGGAGACCCTTACCCCTGCGACCACCCCGCAGCGGGGCCCCACAGGCTTCCAGTGGCCAGGCCCAGCAGCTGGACTGGGGAGGGGCACTGGGAGGGGAAACTTGAGCCTGGGCCGAAGAGAGCCGGCTGGACATGCCACACCTCTGCCGCATCTCTCTGGATCTGATTTCCCTTCTGGAATCAGATCCTGGGGCTCGGGGACTCCTCTACGTCTGGGGGCTAGAGGGCAATGGGATTCCATTTACGGGCCGGGGTAAGGTGTCCGGAACTCCCGCCAGTCTCCAGAACCTGCTGAAATGTTCTGCTCTGCCCTGCTGCTCCAAAGCGGAGGCCTGGATTTCATCTCCAGCGTTTCACAGCTTAACCTCTACTCTCCGGGCTAGAATGGGACATGCCGGAGGGAGGGATTGTGGGACCAGGAAGCTGAATGGGACCTGGCGGCTTTAGGGATCTGGCGCTGCCCTAGAGTCAGGTGCTCAGCAAAAGTATTGGAACTATACTACTGGGGGTGGGGTGGGGGGGATGGGGTGGTGGCTGGGAACCCCGGGGGCGGGCGCCGCCCTAGGGGTGAATCTGAGGAAACTGAAACGTCCCTTCTGTGCCTGGCAACACTACTAGCCTTTGCACCCCCTTTAAAAGCACCTGTTTGGAAGAGTGGTTAATTTCTTTTAAAACAAAAACCGCCTGCGCGCTGGGGTGTGCAGGTGGAGGGGTCACCGGCCCTGCGCACAGCGCAGAGGGCCGCGACCCCCAGGCGCAGGGTTTAGTAGAGGGTGCGGCCGCGAGGCCCGGGATCCGGCTCGGCTTCTGTCTGCCCCTTCCCGTAGGCGCGCGGGCTAGCGCCGGGCGCAGTCTGAAGCCTTCCTTCCCTCCCCCCCACCCCCTATAAAAGTCTGGGGCGGCGCGGCGGCGGCACTGCTGCTCTCCCGGCCTCCCGCTCTGCTCCGGCCCGGCCCGGCCCGCCACGTCTGGCACGCTGAGCAGGCCGGGCCGCGCAGCGCCAACACCGGTTCCCCGCTCCGTGCTGGCAGTGCTGGGCTGCGCGCTGGGGGCGCGGCGTGTCTGGGGACATCTTGTGATGTTGGCGAGAACAGGACATGATCTCACATGGCGAGAAGCTCTTTAGTTCCTTAATCATTTCACGGTGCCTTCGGACGCTTTTTTTCCACCTAAAACGTTTAGTTTCAGCTCAGTGATCAGCTACCCCAGCTCGGCGGGGGAGCGGAAGGCTTGAATTATTCCGACCTGTGAGCGGCCCCTGGCACCAAAAAAAAAAAAAAAGGCACAAAAAAGTGGAAACTTTTTTTATCCCTGTCCATTCCATCAAGTCCTGAAAAATCAAAATGGATTTAGAGAAAAATTACCCGACTCCTCGGACCAGCAGGACAGGTAGGACCGCGATACGGGCTCCAGGCGTACTAACTCAGTGACACAGCCAGGCGCTGGTCCCCCACGCAGGGCGACCCTGGAGGAGGGGGTGCGCCGCATTTTCTGAGATTGTCGTGTGTTTGTATGTCTTTTCGTCTATCTGTTCACACACTTCTGCATCAGTCCAAGTGTCTGAGAGTTTGCCTGTGTTTTTCTGTTTCTGAATGCTTATGCTGGTTTCTATCTGGGGGTCTGAAAGTTCGAGTCTGTGTGTTTACGTAAGTGGCTCAGTGTGTGCATGACTGACGATAAGTTTGTGTGTCCCTGTATACGTATTTGCAAAATGTCTGAGTTTGTAGCCAAAAGTTTGTGTGCCTGTGTGTATCTTTATACCCATGAGTGTATCAGTGCGTGTTAGTATTTGTGTGTATGTTCTTTGGAGTATTCAAAATGTGTGTCTATGAGTGTCATTTATATAAATGGAATAATGCTTGAGTGTACATCTACTGTTTTAAGGGTCTGTGTTCACCTGTCCTATCCCAGGTTTTTGGAAATGAGAAAGAAGGAGTAACATTGACCTATCCATTTTTGGATGTCAACAGCTGTCCAGTGTGTACAAACCAATGAACACAAAGGTGACTGCCTCTAGGCACAGACATGGGTCTGGGACCTATGGAGGTCTGTGGTGCTAAGTATGTGCACGGTCAGACCCAAGTCCCATTCTGTTGGGAGATGGAACCAGGAGTGAAGGTGTGAATTCAGGGTGTGTAACCTCTCAGGGTGCAGTGTGCACTGCCTTGCTCTGTGGGCACTGTCAAGCCTACCATTTGTACAAAAAGGTCTCCTATGGCAGGCACAACCTTGCAGGTGAGAACAGGCAGTCTACAGGCTAGTTGTGACATTTCTAGGGACTCTCAGCCTACCCTGCTTTTACTAGGCAACCCTCTGACACTTGTGTGTCTGTCTGTGTGCACACAGAAACACAGTGTCCTCAGGTTTTATCCTGTGGGTGCCGCTCCAATGGAGGAGAGCACAAGTGGGTGAATGTGTGTGCCCAGTCTGGGCATTCATCTCTGTTGCTTGTATTCACACAGTCACATATGGCACTGGGCTGGGTATGCCTCCCACAGGCCCAGGCAGTGGGTAGCAGGGTGTGTTTATGTCTGAGAGGAGGTGGCAGGGGCAGTAGGCCTCCGTCTGCACTGAGGCATGTTAGGTATGGAGGCCTCTTTCACTCACTAGGCCACTGTGCTAACCCCCACACAAACACACTCCTGGCCCTGGCAAGAACCCCCTTCTCCCATCTCTGTGCCATATGTGAGCCCCCACCTCTTCTCCAGCCCGAAATACAAGTCAAAGAGCAGAGAGATGTAAACCTAGACCCCAAACCCAGGACAACTTCTTGGGCATAGATGTATTTCCGAAATTGTGACTGAAGAGAAGAGAGGGCAGAGATCTAAGAGGCAGGAAAGCCAGAAGAGCATTCCCAGGATGAGGGCTCAGAAAAAGGAGTCTGGAAACACCCTCTTCTCCAACCCCAATCCCAGAAGGCCCTCCTTTCCCCTGGTGATGGGTCCCTCAGTAGATGGGACTCTCAGAGGGACCTGCACCTGGGACTAGGGATTGTGTGTGTGTTGGGAATGGGTTGGAGGTGTGTGAGGGCCAGGGAGAGGGTCTGCACAGGGGCTGCCTCTCCCGACAAGCTGTCTACAAAGAATGTAATTCATGGCGGTCGATGGGCTCTTTGATTAGTTCAATTGCCTGAATAATCGTTTAATCAATAAAGCATTTCATTCCTCAGTGCAGCTGGACTGGGTGGGGTTTGGGGTGGGGTGGGGGAGTCCTAGGCTGGCCAGAGGTTGAAATCTAGAGAGCCACGCCCCCTCCTCACCGAAATGTTGGGGTGAGGGCTGACTGCCCAGGAAAGAACAACAGCTCAGGTGACATTGTACTTCTGCCTGTGGGCACCAGCCTGGGCCAGGGCTGGGAAAGAGCAGGGGGCTGAGAAGCTGTCCAAACTGGCACTCAAAGGAGGGGGGGCCAGGTCTGGTTTCTGCAAGGGTTTCTTCCCTCTCCCAACTCTAGGCCTTTCATGGGCCACTAGACCTCTCTTTTCTTCCTTCACAACTATATTCCATTCCTTCCCCAAACCTCAAGTTTCTCCATTTGCATAATGGGGAGGGAGTATGTCCTGGGACTTGTAGGAGATCATAAAGAGTTATGCAGGGAATACGAATGGATGGAGAAAAGCTAATACTGGGCAAGCTACCTGCAATGGGAGCCCTTGGATCCCTAGGCCAGGAAGACCTCGATAGGCTGAACACTTTCCCACTGGGCATTGACATCCAGTCTTACAGCTCTGGAATGAGCCTGCAATGGACTGATAGTAAGAATCCCCTATCCATAAAACTTCATCTCACAGAGCCTTAGGAGGTTGCAAGTCAGGGGTTGTTCTCAGCATTACACACAGGGAGAAGCAGATGCCCTAGGAGAAGGAGCTGCATGTCTTAAGTGTTTGGGAGAGAGAGGTAATCCCAGCATGCTGGTAAAAAACCCCTATTAAGGAGGTTTACACAGTTCTTGAAAAACCTGGTTAAATTCTCCTCTGCCCACCTTCTCCACCTCTTCAACAACTCTCGCAAACAGATTCTTGATCCAGGTGCAGGAATCATGCAGGAATCGAATCCCCTGTGCTCCGACTTGCTGTGTAATCTCAGGTTAGTTAGTTGCTTTTCCTCTGATATATTTTGTTTTTCTTCTTCAAATGAGGGTTAGAGAGAGCCCACTGGGCTAGGACAGAGATGGCCACTGCATCTCTGATCTTCCCTGAACTGAGCAACCAGTCTGAATCCTATAGGCCTTGCTTTGCCTGAAGCAAGAGCAGGGAAATGGGCTGGATTTGGGCTGCGGGAGTCCATCTCAGGCCCACAGAGCTCTATAGCAGCCCCAACATCCTATCCTGACGCTGCAGTAGCATTGCGCGCTGGGAGGTGAGAGAGGGGAAGCCGGAAGCGGGATGTGTCCCGAATGAAGGGAAGTCTCTGACCAAAGACCCAAGTGGACGCTCTCAGGTGTTTTGGTTTCTCAAATATTATTCTCAATGGGCTTTCTTTCAATAGCAAAACTTTCGAAGGCAATTCGATTTACAAAAATTCAGCTCCTTGCCATATGGTTTCCTTTCCTGGTCTTCAGCCCCCAGCATCTAGCACAGGGTCCGGCCCAAAGCCCTGCTACTGGGAGAAAGAAACCACACTACTGCAGCGCGTAACAATGCTGGACCGCATTCAGGGCGGCAGCAAGACCAGCTTCCTGCTTGTCTTTCCGGGACCCAGACTGCGCCTCGCTGTTGTTCAGAGAGGCAGGACTGAGGCGCGGTAGCTTGCTTCCGCCAGGGAATCGCTGTGCAATCTTGGACTAGTCACATAACCTCTCTGAGCCTCTGTTTGTTGGCCTATAAGGCTGGACTAGGTAGCCAAGATATCAGGTCTGGTTGCACCTCTTGGGATTGGAAGTTCCCGGAGACTGGCCCCTTCGGGCAGTGGTGAACAACCCGCACTCAGAGGGAAACTCCCTCTGCCCGGAGCACCAGGGTGTGCGGGAGGGGACTGCTCTCGATGCTCAGGTAAGGCTGGCCCTGTGTATGACACGCAGCAGAACACTGTCCTGAAGCCGAACACTTACTGTGTGAAATGGGGTATCCAAGCTACTCCTGTTGGGGTAATATCTGCGGTTGCATCCCACCTTAGCAGTGCCCCGAGAATTCTATCTAAACAGCACAGGTGTCGGAAGAAAAACCGGCTTGTGCGGGCATATACTAGCCGGGTTCTTTGATTTGGCAGCATCCCTCTCCCCCGCCAATGCCCTGCCATCCTGAGAGTGGCTCTGGAGAGGCGCTTTTGAGAAAGAGGTTTCTGGCTCACAGCCTTTCTTCTACCTGAGACTTACTGTGTGACTTTGAACAAGTCTCATCCCGCCTCTGGGCCTCAGGCTCCGCCCTTGCAAATAGCCTCAGGGCCCTTTTAGCTCTAAGACTCTAGAATTTGAGTTTGTAGGCCCCAGCCTACAAACGTGCAGGGCTAGGAGTGGAAGTGTCACTGGCTGCGTCTCTCAGGGCATCCAAACCCTTCGGCCTCTTATAATGCAATTATTGGGAATGAAACAAACAACAAACCCTTCCACCTCTCTAGGAGTAGGCAGAGCGGCCACGTCTAGTCTGGGCTGGGACTCTGAATTCTAGTCATTTCAGATCTACTGGGCTCCTTTGGGTGAAGTGAATCCGGGAACCCTAATCCATCGCGGTCCCTCTCTACTATTGCGATCTTCCTGCCCCAAGGCGGGGGTGGGGTGGGGTAGGGGGGCGAAGATCCGGACTGGCAGGGTTCCAGACAAAGGAGAGAAAACGCCCGTCACCCCATCTCTGCGCACGCCGCAGCCTCGAGGGTCCCCTGAGGCCCGCCTGGGGCCGTTTTCTGCAGCTGTGCCCTGGTGGGGGTGGGGACGGGTGTCAGCGCCGGAAACTTGTCTACCGGTCGGGGGCAGATGGTTTTGGGACCGGGACAGAAAGTGGGTCCAAGGGCCGCTCCAGCGTAGGGGTGTCAGAAGTGGAGTAGGGGTTGAGAGAAGGGAGAGGAGGGGAAACTGAGGCAGAAAATGAAGGGAGAGGATGATCCAGCAATCCTCCCAGGATCAGCCTGTGCTATGTCCTCCTTACAAGCCCCGTCTTGGAGCAGGCATCTCAGAGCCCTTGTTTTGGTGGATTTATATTTAATATCAAACGATCATCACTTATGAATCCCAAAGGTGAGTTTTCACATCACTCCCAGGAGCCGCTGGGGCAGGGGAATCCTCAGTGTCCGGTACCGGGGCTTGGCCCTGGCACACCGTAGGGCTCTCAGAACTGTAGCCTCCCGGGTGAAGAATGGCTTCCTTTTCAAGGTCCAGTTCCTTTGATCGTGGTCCCAGAGCCTTACACCCCCGAGAAACGGAGACTCGCTGGTCAAAGTCCTTCTGGGTCAGGAGAG